AATTCTACCGATAATCCTTCTTATGACTGAAATTGATCTTGATACAAAGGAAAACGCGATTGCCAATTTTCGTATAATATAGACGTGAATTCGGATGACACAGATTCCTATTTTTTGTCTTTTATATGTCACTGAGACGTTTAAATAAATCGTATAAATAATTTTTTTGTAACATTTATCGTCATCAAAAATGAACCGGGATCGTATTGTGACACACCAATTGTATGAAATATAAAAAAACGGGGTGTTAATATGGATACGTGCGAGATTTTGTTTCCATCGGTAAATAGCGATAACGGAATATATCGATTGTTTCATTTATCTGCTAGTACACGAGGTAATTTAGTCCGAAGAGAATTAACAAAAATGAAAGCGTAAATGTTGTTAATGTCACAGAGCTATAGTATATACTGGCACGGCAACAACTATGCTCTGACGATTATACGATCTGAATTATTCACAATACAATCCGAGCGTAATTCGATCATACGCTGTACGTTTTATCAAGAATTAATTTTCATTCGGAGAACCATAATTAATAGCAATCTGTTAATAATGAGCAACAATAGGGAGAAAATAGTACTGTGTTGGACGGAATACAAGCAGCTTTATTGATCATCATTGACAATGGTTAAATAGAAGGAGAGTTACGTTCATAGGATTGGGATAATGTGCTAAATCACACACGAGAAAGTCAAGCAATTTAATTTAGATGAATGCCGTACATATTCATATATGGCATTCATCTAAATTAAATTGTCCAGCATGTTATTGCGTCGGTTAAATATATAACAATAAAATTGGTAGAACCTGGGAATGCTGAGAATGCATTAGTTAATATAATCGTTAATCAAATCGCTTTAAATATTTAATATACAGATTAAATTAATTTTTCTCGATTTGAATTTCTCTATATTTATTAATTTGTGTGCAAGATGATCGTGGATATCACGTGTCACGAAAATTCCAAAGTGACGAGAGCGATCAAACGTTTTATTGCAAACGAACCGTGATATTAAACTAAGATTTCTACGAGATCTCTACACCTTCCTCTCTTCCTAAGTAATTCCTGTTATTTTTCCGTTCAAGTGTTTTTCTAACGCATTTTCATCCGCCGGCAGATTGGTACGACGGATTCGTTGCTATACGTACGAATATTAAATCTCTATCCGTCTTCCCTCACCGACTGCCTAAATTAAAATTCCATCTACGAATTCCATCTTGTCGCACTTACGCGCTCGCGACTTCGACGAAACTCTCGTAATCTGGTGTCTTACAAAACTCTAGAATTTTTTTTTTCTCTCGATGAACGTTGAAAAGGAAGACGAACCCTTCCTTTACGCGGCTTCGTTATCGAACTTATAAAACCTTAGAGATTGAAGTTGCCCTCCCTTCCCTCCCCGTACTATTAAATGGAATTAACCTTCCCGGTGAGAATCTTAAGATTCCGATTGCTCTAACTTCGCGCGTACTATCGTAGAACTTTGCCGCGGAACTCATTGCAGCATTCAATCCGCAATTTAGATTTCTCATTAAACGTTGAAAATCGCCGATAGATGCACGCGAGTTAACCGTAGACTCGATCCTAGATCCAAGCTTGCGCGTCGACTTAATTATTAGGGGCTGTTAGCTTATCGTGTAACGTACATATACGTAAAGTACATAGAAAGTGTATATAAATGACATAGGACGCGTGGCCGAGCTGCTGCTGTAATCGTTAGTCACAATCCTGACAGGTACGGACGCTTTGACATATTTGAACTCGATTTTTGATTAAAATTTGATGAAAAACTCGATTTAATCGCATTCAATTTTTCGATTAAATATTTCAAAAAGCAAATCTGATATTATACCTTTATCTCTATTACACAAATGTACATTTTTCAGTAATGACTGTGCGATGATGTCAACGTTGATATTAAATCTTGCATATATATATATATATATATATATATATATATAAAATAAATGTGGAATTAATTAGTGACATCATCTGCTATAAAGCCGCTTAAATGTAAACAGTCAAATAATGGGATTGTCTAACACTCCGTTAAGAAAGAAAGCGCCACAACAAGGATGTTTCGCGTATAAACGATCCAGAAAGGCTATAAGACTGTTAATAAATTCTGCTTAAGTTTGCGAAAGATAATCGATTTCATACTGTAAATTTATAGGATCCCAAGCTGTTGCTCAAATATTTCTTTACCAGGGAGCAATGAAGGCAGTAAATGTCCGGCCGATACGATCTATACATCCACGCTTTCAGTAACAAACACGAACACTAGAATATAAAGACATTAACCCGTGAACGCTCGCGCTATGAGCTCTCTGTGCACATATTAGAAACTATTTTCATGCAACATAGCGGTATACCGAATATTACGTTATATTCTCTTAGTTATCTTTATTCCCAAATATCTACACCATCGACACTATACTGTGCATTAAAGAATTCGTTATAAATTTATTACATATTTACGTTCTACCATTAACGGTATACGATTTTATCATAGTTAAAAATTCAATGGATATTTCTATTAACGCGTTAATTTTTCAAAAGTTTATATTCGTCATAGTTAAATAATGAAATTAAAAACGATATTATAAATAATTGATACTATGAATGAGACATTGCATCCATAAGTATAAATATTACATTTATTTGTCGTATCATTGAACGTATAATATTCTAATAAAATTAACGAGATTTTAATAAAATTGGCCTGTATCCGCTTTAAGATTAAATCTTATATCCAATAGTAAAGTCAATTTGGTGACAATTTAAATTTGAAACTTGATATCGAGTTCGAAATTTTATATTCGATATATTACTTTTATATTCGATATGAGTTGAGAATTTATTTCTTGTATATTTTTCCTATTTATTTATCCTACATTTAGTCTTTTTTACTTAATGTGCACATCTCTTGATACAGAAAACTGGAAATTGTCGATATATGATATTTAACAAGACGTATAAAATGGAAATTAAAAAATAAAAGATGCTTTACAATAGACATATAACGTTTCGTAGCAATTTTAATCAATCAAAATTTTGACAAATTATTTGCAAGAAAGAGCAAACATATTTATAAAAATCAATAAAAGAAATGTTTGAATTAGATTCGAAAGCGTTGGAATCAAAATTTTATTACTGCCAACCATGATGGTCGGGCTCTAACAAAGACGGACGAGCAAAAAACTTAATCTAAACATCCACCATCTTTACGTTGATTCGTCGGTTTCTTATTTTCGCCGACATCAACAAATCCTCTTTCTCATTAATAGTACGTCGGCCATTAACTCGGCCATTTATCATCGGCCGATGTGGCGATCTGGCATCTCTTGGACCTTGGTAGCGCCATATTTATACCGCGCGTATCTGTATCGATCGCGTAAATTTCTTCGGGGGTAACGGCATTTAATTTCACCGCGTGTCACTTAACCCTCCGCCTAGCGGACGGGTCCATTAGGCTCGCACCTGTTTCGGGAACTACGTTCGTGTAATCAATTAGAAAAATAACTTTCTTAACTCTACGATATTTCACGTGAATGTCGTGCGAGACATCGGAAAAATTACGTGAGAGATTCTATTCTTATATAAAAATTAATATTTTACCTCACGAAAAAGTTATTAGCGACGCTGAAACATAGTCATATTTTATAAGACAAGGATTACAATGAAATAATGAAATTATGACAAATATCTTACTCAAGGAAAAATTGTAAGATACAAAAAATAAATTCCCGTTCTCTCTCTCTCTCTCTCTAAAGGTTAATATCGTATAGAAATGTATATAAAATATTGCATATAAAATTTGTAAAATATTTCCGAAAAGCATGAATCCGATATGATACGATACGATAAGATATAGGATTAATCTCGATATGAGCGCGAGAGACAAGCATACATCTCGCAAAAGGTCACGTATGCAATGATTCATATTTTATTCGCGTTTGATCTAGTTGCCGAAATTCTCGCGAAAAGTCTCGCGACGCAATGCTAAAATCATATATCGCGTCAAGTGCAGAATATTGATCTCGTGAATATTTTAAGGCGTCGAACGTATACACGCGCGTATATACACGCGCGCGCACGCTGCGAACGCTACGAACGCGGAAACCGTTGTCACTGGAATCCCCATAGATTATTCTGCATTGTGGCAAATGCGAGTAGCGTCGCACGCATGTGCATATGTATAATGTATACGTGTGACGAACGTTTACATGTTTTAGATTTAGCGGGTTGGTGCGGGATCAAAAGTGAGTTCTCGCGATACTCATGTTTAATTATGAAACGACGAGATGCTAAATTTACCTGGAAGAATAATAGCCGTATGCGTACGATAGCCGTATAATTCTTCGTTAATTCGCGTGGTTCATTGGCTGCTCAGTTTACGTTCAACAACTACGGTACAGTAATTAAAAAGTCATTTCTCATTGAATGCTCTTTCGAAAGTTTTCAAGAAGGAGAAAAAAATCTTTTATTTCTTCGTAATTCGCCAGATTACGTATGTAACATATAACCTATTAATTCTTATAAAATGAAATGGGATCATTTTTATATATTAGATTTGAAACAGAATATATTATACTCGGTAATGCAAGTTTGTAATAATCATCAAAAATGTGTGTGCATGCAGCGCTCTTTGAACGTTTCATGTGTATTTAAATTTATGTGTTTAACTGACGCGATCGAATATTTGATATTTAAAGTGCATGACATGCAATATGCACAAGTAGATTTTGAAAATAAATTGATGATCTTTTAGTATATAATCTATCCTCCAGCTAAATATATGTATATATATATCTATATATATATATGGTCTAAATAATACATTTTTTTACGTCGCGATAAAGATTCGCACGTGAACGTGTATCTATAAATACTTAAATTTTCGACTTAATAATAAACGTCGCAGGTCAAATTTCGCAATATTCGATAATTAAGTAATTTCTTGATATCGGAGAAGTTTCTCAAAACGTAAGGTATGTACCTCGTAATCGCGTATACGGAGGATTCCCTGGCATTCCCGATAGCATCGATCGCAGATCGTTGCATCCTCCGCGCTGATTCCGGAGCGAAATCCGTATTGAGCGCACTGGAGTATCCGGCCATCGTAGCTGCGATCGGTGTGAGCACTATAGCGACATATCCTTTAGGGATGAATCCGCCGTAACGTGCACCAAGGAGAGAGAACCACTGGGGTACGTGTGTATGTATGTGTGTGTATGTACGTATATGTGTAATCCGGCACACGGCGCCTCCGACCACCCTTTGCGGTCGAAGAAAACGTATAATCCGCAGTGGTATCCCACGGGTAAAGGGTAACTGTCACACGTGTTACACGTCGCACACACTTGGCATATATACGGGAGGATACAGAGTACGGCGGGCCACGGGATCTACGCGTACGCTCTCGTCTGTTTCCCGTCGGAGATCACGAGCGGACAGAGCCGGCACAATCTCTAAAGACGTATCCCCGATCCATCCGACGAACCTGGATACGTCACCACTGCACCGTGTCGGGAGCCTTTCCCACTCTCACACCAACATTATTCTACCGAACGCACCACTAGAGGGTCCACTGAGGGTGACGCACGAGGGCTAAGTATCGTCAGGACGAGATCGAAGCACCCTCGGCCGCGAGTTCTCTCGGCGGCGCGCGTCGCTCACCTCGCGGCATCACGACATGTATACTCGCGCGCGTCCACCGAGAACGCGGTCGCGCTCGTCGGGGGTTGGAAACGAGAATCCTCCAGGTGCTAAACGCGGACGGTGCGAGCGACGTTTCTTCCACGCGATCGAACTCTCCTCGTGTCCCCGGGTCCACTCGAGGAGAAAGAGAGAGAGAGAGAGAGAGAGAGAGAGAGAGAGAGAGAGAGAGAAACGAGAGCGCGCGCGATTCGACGTTGCTGACGACGTCGTTCGTTTTGCAGGGTAAGGGTGGCTAAAAGGGGTGAAATCAGACGAGACTATCGCGTCACGAATACGTCGTATCCTACCCGCACGGCAGACAGCACGGAACTACTGGCGGTCCCTACGCGAACGTAATTCCATCCCCACCGCGCCAACGGCCAGGTTACCCCCACGATAGCGTCGTTGCTACACGCGCCCCTTACCCCCTCCTCAATAATGGGCACGCACCGAGAGCTATCCGGAGCGTGACACACGCTTACGCTTCTGGTGGGGGTTACAGTCGCGTGGCGGCGGCACGACTCGGAGGGGATGCGAGATGAACTTGGTGGCGGTGGTGGAAACTACAACGGCGGCGGCGGCGGCGGTGGTGGCGGCGGCGTCAGCAGCAAGCAGCAGCAGCAGCAGCAGCAACGGCGACGGCGACGATGGTGGCGGTGGTTTAGCGACGCATGCGCACGCCACGCGTCCAACGTCGCTGCCGCGTCGCTCGTTGCTCGTTGCTCCGACGAGCGGATGCACCGTACGGCCTCGTGAAAATCCACGACAAATGCGTACGTATATACTATGTATATGTACGTACGTACGTACGCTGAGCGACGCGTACAAACGAAGGCCGCGAGAGTGCAGAGACCTCTCGCCTCCGCGTCGCGTCGCGCCGACCGCAACGCGAGGATGCTGGCTAAACACAGCTACGTGACTTCTGCCCGCCGCGACCGGAGGCAAAAGAACATTACGGAGCGAATTACACGGCGCATCGGAAAAGAATTCGCGCGACTTTCTCGGAGTTTTACTGCAAAAGAGATTATGAGTTATCGTATACGGTATAAAGTGTAATAATACCGCCAACCCGCGTGGAATGCCGTTCACGATACCACGAGATTACGTGTATAAGGCGTCGTTTGCAGTTTCCTGCACGCGTTTTCGCGACGCCGTGCCGACGAGAAATGTATCATTATCTTTTATATTCGAGAGAAACTAAGCGCCGTGAATACTTACAAATTTAACAAACCATTTTAATGCCCGAATAGCGTAGCGTTATAATTTATAATATCTACTTTTCAGTCCGCACACATTTTTGTTTTAATAAAACAAATCTGTCACACATTTTGTTTAAATAAAACGTTTGTAATTATAAATTAGGCACCTGTGGTATTTTCTACCGTTCATTGATGTTGTTACATTGTTGTGTAATTATGTGGAATATTATAATATTAAATTCGACGTTTTAACGTTTAACATTCGGAGCATTTAACTTGAATGGAATTCCAATCTCGACCGTTGGAATGTCATAAATACATTGCATTTTGAGAATTCGCGAAGAATATGTCGAAAGAAAAACGAAATGAGGCGCATCTATTTACAAAGCGTTCGTTTATCCCGCAGGAAATTCGCTGGGTATCGCGGACGCTGTAAAGGGTTTTGCAAGCCAGAAGAGACGGCGATGCTCTTTGAACAAAGCATTCTGTAAAGAGCGTTTTTCATAGTCATTCTAAAATTATATCCAATCGCGTTTGGAAATAAAACTCTTATATGGCAACGCTCTTATGCGTGCATTGAAAAAGAAAAATCTCAATTTCAAAGAAATATCTCTTTGCTCGTATTAAAAAAAAATTACTTCTTTGGATCGATAAAAATTTTTTTAAAAATAAGATATTCTATTAGGTGTTGGAATTAATTCGTAGCGTTTTACAAGAGATGGGAAGTACTTTCATTGACTCATGTGAAATAAATAACATTCTTTCATTAAAAAACGCTACGAATTAATTCCAACACCTAATATTTTCAAAGAAATAAGATAATGTATTTTCAAAAAAATTTTCATTGAGATTCAAAGAAATAATTTTTTTTTAATACGGGAGAGCGAAGGATATTCTTTGAAATTAAGATTTTTTTTTTCACTGTGGTATATTTCAAAAGGCAGTATTTTTTTTGCAACGAATGGCGCGAATCAAAATCATTGCATTGCGTGGTTAGAGAAGAGAGAGATTTGTATGTATTTAAAACACTACTCGTATATGACATACGTGTCATGTTCGGGCGGAAAGAAAAATACGGTCGCAGTCCTTTGTCATATTTTTTTTTTTTTTTTGCGTAGCATAGTTGCATTTTAGTATAATTATTTATAAAATAATAAAACAGATCCACGCATATCGCGAAATTGAAAAAAATAGGAGCGTGACATGCAAATTTCCAAACCACTCCTAAAGTTTTATCTTACTCTAAATTGAGACAATCGTTCGCGTTAAGAACGAATGTTATTAAGCTAGTTTAATGGAATCTTGAGCATAGTTTCGAATAAATCTCTTAGGCGTTTAATAAAGAATTTGGAGCACGAGGCGGAGGTATAGAGCGAGAGAGGAGGTGGCGTGTCCTACTCGGCGCCGCCGACAATGATAACGAAACACGACAGCCCCGGCTGTTACGTGCCTCCTCGAGAAAATATCGCATCGTAATTCCGATGCCCTACCATTGAAATTTTAATTTTGTATATCATGCTAACGACGCGCGCGTGTTTTGTACGTGTAGTTCGCGCTGAATACTTTTTCGTTGGATATTTTCTTACGATCGTATGTATATGTGCGCTTCAATTATTTTTATTAAGATATTATTAAGATATTACATCCGGCATTCTCGCGAATGCTCGATGAAAATTTTATCGGATTAACGTTATTGCGTTATCGACGATATTTATTGATTAAAAAACGCGCAATGGATTGACCTGATTATTTTTTTCATTTTTAAAAATTAAGTTTGCAATAATTAAAATTGACTGCTGTAAATCGTAAAGCGCGTTAACATCGGTGCATTTCACGAATTTACCTCGTCAAATATGAGCGTTGGCATGCAAATAATTAATTTACTTGGCTGTGAGAATAAATTACGAGTACGTACGATTCTCGCTCGACTGCACGACGACGCGGATCAAAAGACACGGAGAAAGAACTATGAAAGGAAAGCGCGTACTCTGAACACGCGAGTTTCGCGTTCACCAGGGAACTTTGCTAGAGAATTCGGAATATAGGGCTGCAGCATCGCGCGAGAGGCATCTCATTCGACACCACAGACGGTAATAACGAGAGCCCGACGGCGCGAGGTTACGTGCTTCCTCCAGAGAATATTAATCCGTAATGCTGAACTCGGTCTGTTGAATCTTCCAGCTCCCTATATCAGATGCTACGAAGGAAAGCGGCTACGGAGGAAAGCTCGGTAGACAGCGAAGCTCATGAAACAGAAACTTTTGCGGCAATCCAAGTATCGCTGGCCCGTTTGTGATCAGTTTGGTGAAATTTGTCTTGCGGTGTCTTTATTGTTCCATTTTCGACGTCTATATTTTCTCAAAAAAAAAAAAAAAAAAAGAAAGAAAGAAAGAAAGAAAGAAAGACAAGACAAACTGATGTGAGTGCGTGCAAGAATAAATAAATAAATTCGTGAAAAGAGATGCCGTGTAAAAAAAAATGCTTCGACGATCCTGACGTAAACTATACAGTGCACTTGACTACACTGACCGAACTCTCTTTGTTTGCTCGTTCGTTCGTTCGTTCGTTCGTTCATTCGTTCGGATTGTACGGATGCGCTTTTTCATGCACCGACCATACTCGGAGCAGGTGCAGGACCGCGGACAGAAGGGCGAACGACCGAACAAATCCGGTTCGGGATATACGTATACGCACTAGCTGAACTCCCTTCCTCGTCCGCGTATAATGTGAGACTAGCTTAAACTGGTTGTCGTAATAAGAAGAGAGTTCATTCTTCGCTAATAGGGACGGTGGGAAACAAACTTGAGTGGGGGGGGGAACAAACTTTTACTTTTGATTTACTTAAGAAGAAATTCCCCGGATGAATGAACCCATCGGTCCATTATTCATTTAAACGAGTATTACATTAATTAAACATCTAGTTATATCAATATTGCCACATCATGTAATAACTCGTATAATCAACAGCACATACCTAATTATTCCATTAACTTGATATTAGTTAGTAATAATTTTGTTATTGTTTAGGTAAGGAAAATAGAAGAAAAGAAATGTACACAATCTATCATAGAATGCCATATACATGTACCATATCCCATATATACGTACCGTATGTGCAAAAAGTCTTTTAATATGTTTTAAAAAATCCAAAGAGACCATATCTGTACTCTAAAAGTGATCGAACCACCCTGTTTGAAGTAGCAAACCAATGAACCGTGTAAAATTTCACGTAATTATCCGGAAGTAATACTGTCGGGGAACGTAACGCCTCCGCAGTCACTGTTAGCTTAATCGAGATGACTTCCTTTTTTAATTCCGCATAATGTCTGCTCCGGGAGTCCCCCCCTTTTCCGAACTTGGTACGAGAAAACTCGCATTAAGGAAACGATAGGATGTGGACACGATGCACACACAGCACCTTTTGTGCAATTATCGCCTTTTATAAATGTTAAAATTTTTCGTAATTTTTTTTTCTTCATTCTAAACTCGAGTAAACTACAGCACAAATGCATCTCGCGATTCGAAGTAATTAATTTCAGTCAAGAAATGTGTACCCACTTTGCTTTGTAAAATTGTTGACTTCCAAGAAATATGTTGACTTCAACATATTTCTTGTATATCTTTGTATAGAAATACACCAAGTATTTATATTTATCTAACCAAGTATTTATATTTATCTAACCGTCTACTTTATTTTAATTCATATAGTACTGTATAGTATATATTATCAGATATACATTAAAAATTATACGCTGTTTTAAGTATAGCGTATAATTTTTGAATATACTTATACGTTATTTTATTGTCCGTTATTTTATAATATTTAAAAGAAAGAAAAATCTCAGAAAGAAAGACTTAAGATTTTTCTCAAGAAATTTTAATCAGAATTCCTTGTTCCTTTAGATTTTCTTACAAAATATAATAAACTCTATTGCTCTCAGGAAATTGATTCCCGTTAAAATTTGTATCCACAACCGTGCCAAATCGAAATATAAATAATACACCTGGATTAACCGCGCTATATTTCGAATTTTGGTTATTCGTATATTTTTGACCAGTATTTACATTGTTTCATAAATTTTGTCTGATTAATGGAACGGATTATTATGTTTTCCTTGAAAATAAAGTATTTGCCGAATTGCACATATTATGATATCCACGATTCAATCTCGCTAATATTATTTATTCATTTAGAAGTTTTCATAAACAGACGTTTCGCAAATTTCACATAATATGCACTTTGGTGTATTAACACAAAAATGTTATCACAATGTTATATCTTTATTCGCGAGCGTTGCTTGGTTCGCAAACAAAAGAATAAAGATCGAAATACGTTTCCCATATCGGCCATTCGAAGCCGACTTTAAAGCAGCTTTTTATGCGATTTATCTAGTATCGGAAAGACATTGGCATCTCTTACAGCTTCCTCGGATATATACGTTCCTGATGATCTATTTATAACTGTTACGAAGGCTATATTTGTTCAAAAATGCGTTCGCGTTCACGTATGTAATTGAAAATGAAAAGATCTATCATCTGATACGTTACAAGAAAGATTAGACTCCCGATAAGATATCGATAGATACTTCCGAAAAATTTTCTTACTCGTATTTCACGATTACTCAAAAATTTCTGTTATGATAAAATAAAATAATAAATCTTTCAATTTATCATCTTTTTACTTTCCCATGTAAATCAAGAAACGCTCTCTTTTATGGAAATCTTTTTGTAAAAAAGTATCCTACAAGGAACGAAGTGGCAAGGGAGATGGCAAACTTTTTTAAAGAACATTTGAAGCAATGGAAGTAAATTTTCCGCTTAGGAGTCTGACAAATTCCGGGTTACACCTCGGCGTCACTTTATTTGAAAGGAGGACGGTGCAAACGGCGAGTGTGTGGTGGTCAGAGAGTGGAGCACGGATTTTTGCCGGCCGCGCGCGTCGAGATAGCATCACGACATATTTGCCTAGCAAAAGCTTCGGACCGAAAGAGGAAGTACGGAGGAAAGAGTCAAAAACAGAATGGACATATTGCCATAGTGGCATTGCGCCAGCCCGTGTTTCTGCAAGATATCTGAGAACGTAAATTGAATCGTGTACTGACCAACGATAAATTCGAAAGGCGCGTACGATATATATTTCGTACTATATATATAAATAAAATGTGTGTGCGTGTGTATATATATTTTTCCAACTCTATCGGCTCTCTTGCGTTTAATCGCGTTCTCCCCATAAGGGAGGGGGCGGGGGGGGAGACGCATGATATTTATACAGTTGCGTTACATTCACGCGTGCGGAATTATCGACCAAATAGAAACACGGTGACAGCGACAGCCATCTCAGCGACATAGATTGAACGTACAATGGCATAGGAAGGAGAGGGAGATGTATTGCTCGATACAGATCCGAATGCAGTGACCCAATCATACGTTCAACATGGCACATTCATGAAATAATTTCCGTCTCTTTGACCGGAATATTAGTAGGCTGAGATATTCAATGGCGTATGCTCATAACTTTAATACGCATTTCATTCAATACGCGTATCGATAATAATAAAATTCATTCATACCAAGTTAGATCGGCGGCTTAATTAAGCTTGACATAAACTTAAATGAACGAAATATCGTCGAGTATACTAAATATAATTTCCGGGAATCGATCACATTAACACAGACTTGTTTAATTTTCCATTTGTGTGCAAAATGTACAAGTTTGGTCACGAGTCCAATGTAACTGATGCATTTCATAATGGCTTTTATATATTGCTCGTTTTAGTCTGACTTTAATTGCCTGTCTCATCAATTCACTCTTTACTCTTATTATACGCCCACAGATAAGACATCTGCGCGGTAATTTGATAACTTCGGAAAGACGAACCGGTATTGATATTAGTTGTAGAGTAGCTTTTAGACAGGAACATTATCCGTCCGGTCTTATTTTCGCTCGATTATTACTTTCACGACGGAATTAACGTTGCAACGAAAAGCGAATGAAACACCGAAAGAATAAAAATTATTTTCTAAAGAGATAGAGTACAAATTTCTTCCTTTTGTGACGCGTGGATGATTACCAAGATTCTAAGTGTAGCTATGCAGGTGAGCGCGCCCAAGGACGTTTTACGCTTTTCCGTATTCCCTTGATTCCATTGCTCTCGTCTCCTCTTTTTCTTTTTTTTCGTCGTTTCTTTATTCCCGACCCCAACTAGACCTTTTTTTTTCTCTTTTTTTAATTCTCTTTCCACGTCGGCAGCGCGCTTTCAAAGAAATATCAATTTGTTGAATTATTACGCTCAAAAGCGACGACCTCGCTGTCTTTCAGATTTTATGCACGCATATTTCGCAAAATGTATCCCTGTGTGTAATCAATTTCGAGATATATTTCGAATTAACTGTTCAAATATTTTATATAATTAAAAGCTAATGTATAAGTGTTCATGTTTACGGAATCGTTATTTTATGCATATGTGCCCCAGAGTGAACGTGTTCTAATTTCTCACGCTATATAATAATATAATAATTGCAGAATGTAATATATTTACGTACACTATATGTTCCACACACGCACATATATAATGCATGAAGCAAGATTACCTTTTTCATGAAATTGTAGGGGAAAAAAAGTGCAATACTAAATAAGATGAGTATGACAACAATGGAAAGCTGTAGATAACGATCGTTAGATCGAGTTGAAATCAATAAAAGCGCATAAAAATTTGCCGCACTGTTCGATCACTCTATTAGTTTTGACGTTATCGTAACGCGATCGATCTTGTCGAGGAGTTCTCCGCGGCGTTTTTTAACTCGCGAATTAACAGCGGTACCGATTATACGATCCATTTACGTCCCGTTTTCACGTCGACAAAAGCGGCGGGGTTGTTTCCGGGGGGAGGAGGAGGGGAGGGGGTGTGACCCATTTTCCACTCTTCCTTCTTCAGAGGTACGGCGGCGTTGTGACTTCGGAATATTATCATTGGACTATACCATCGCTTCCATTATCTACCGAGCTACAACTACTCGAAGCTGGCCGTACCATTAAACTACGGAGGTCAATTTGTCCCCGTACGCCACTCGACCTTGTATTACGTTCGGCTTACAGTTGGAGAATAACGCCGTCCGGAATCTAATCTCTTCGTTCACGCGTGTGATTACACTAAATTGTATTAACCTTTCATTAACACACAGAGGTGTGATGACTTTAAAACATTTACTTAAAAGATATGATTATTTAACGACTCGTAGTAATAAAGTATTAAATTGAAGTCCATTAACCAGAATCGCCAATGGTGCTATATTTGGTTTCGCTGATTATTTCAATTTTTTTCTTTTATTGTATTAGATATACAGAAATATTGAAAATGTGTGACTATAAATATAAATATATAATTTTAACGACAAATAATATCAATATAACTTTTCACTAATCGAAAACAAAGATAGGAAATTGCCAAATTGGCAGTTTCAACCATTGATACCATTGGTGATTCTAGTTTTAAATTTATATTAGTTTTACGAAATGAATATTTATTAACGAAATCTATAAACAAATTTGATAAAAATACGTACAATATGAAAAATGATATTTGAAACGCTTCAATATAAAGGAGGCAAATCTGAGAAAAATCTGTTTCCTACTTTGCCCATCTCTAATCACTTTTATTTATCGTAGCATCGCTCCTAATGTCGTTTACAACGACGTTTGATCTTTATTAATTTTATATAATGCACGTTACACGTGAGCGTGCCGCAGTCTCGGGAGGGTGAGAAAAGGATAAAAGGCTCGTGAAAAAGAGGAGGAAAACGACCTAACTCGTTCCTCTCTGTGGTCCGTTTTAATTTTCCGCGCTTTGCCTCTGAACCGTTCAACTCTTTACAACCCTGCTCCACTGCCTACCCACTTTCTTGTCCTCTTCCCCCATTTCCGCGGCGATCAAAGGGCCACGATTCCCGTATCTATGAAGAAATCG